GAGGAATCAAGTATCTGTGATGAGATCACTGGTGGACTTGGTGCTGCAGCAAGGCAGAGTAATCGAGAGATTAATTCATCAACTGTCGGGACAGACGGACTAGCCAAAATCTGGTCGCGTACTGAATCAAGATCATTAGGAAGTCCAGCGAGGGTAAGAACGAGAAACATCTTCTGTCGCTGCTCTTGTTGTTTTTCCACACTAGCAGAAACTGGCATCAACTTCTCAAATTCCTCCATGACTGCCTGTACTTGACCCAAGTAAGTAGACATATCCAATTCCTGCTTCTTTAAGTTTGTCATCCGTGATATCACATCATAGAAGCGAGATATGTCATTAGTGTATAAGGTGCGTGCCTTTGCCCAAACCAAATAACATGTCTGGAATGGACGAAACAAGGGCATCAACTTGGAATCAATAGATCGCCACAAGATGCTACATAACTGAGCATCGATTTTTGCCTAAAGTGATATTGCCTTTTCATCTCCATCGCTAGACTGTTTGATTAGATGATCTTGAACACCTTGACCTCTACACCATTAACTCGACAGATGAAGCCCAAGCTAAGTAGTTTGAACCTCCCATTAAAGGTTCCAAGGTAATAATAGCACTAGAGCTTCCAGAACATGTTTCTAGACCCAAAAGCATCAAATCCCAAAGACATTGTTGCAAATTATTACCAAATAGGAGGAAGAATCAACTATAATCCACTGAAACAGTGTACGGAAACACAGAAACAGAATATTGAAATACTGTAGCTGCCGAAATCTCCTGTAGCTGTCGGAATAGTACTGTAGCTGCCGGAAAAAACTCAAAGTTGTCGGAATAAAATGAAAACAGTAGGGGTAGGATCTGAATTACCAGGCGACCCAACTGTTCTGAAGGAAGATTTTCAAAAAATGGCCGGAAGTGGTCGTACGCGCCGGCGCGTGAGCTTCTAGTGGTGCGTGGAGGCGCGTGAGGAGGCTGATGCCGGAGTTTTTCACTGGGGTTTGGTCGCCGGACAGTGACGACTCTTGTGGTAGTGTTGGATTTTGCACAACACTGACAGAAATGAAGTAGATAGAAAACAACCTTAAAAAAGTACTGATTTCTCGTTCCCGGAATCGCTGGAATTTATGCACAACGATTTCTCTTTCCCGGAATCGCTGGAATTTATGCACAGCGATAAGTCTCTCACAATTGCTCTGATACCATGTGAGAAAGCACAAGAGAAAATATGTTATTGATATTGGATAAACAATACAATACAAGAGGTCCTTATTTATAGCTATACTATACAAGGACATACTACTCTTCTACCAATGTGGGACAATACTACACTATATACATGCTGTAAACTACCAGGACGTTTAAACAATGAAAGAAAAAGAAAAAGAAGAAAAGAAGAAGAAGAAGAAGCAGAAGAAGAAGAAGGATGAGAAAAATCAGAGCATACCTGTTGTTTGAACTTGAAGTTGAAGAAGTTGATGCTTTCAGTCGATGAAGAAGAAGAAGTCGACCAGTGTCTTTAAAACCCTAGTCGCATTGCATTTGTTCGTTTAATGAAAGACCAAACCTCGTTTTTAATAAAATAGGGCTGGGTCTGTTTTAAAACACAGAAGCGGTCGCTTCTTCGCATCGCATCGCATTGCTTTCCCGCTTCTCGCTTTTTAGTGGGAAGCGGTCGCTTTTCTACACCTGAGTCGCTTCAGCAGGGTGAAGCGTGCAGCTTCTCGCTTCGCTTCGCTTCTCGCTTAAAGCGAGGAAGCGGGCGCTTTTTTAAACACTGCATATGCTAGAGTTCTTGGAGAGTTGGTAGATCCATGAAGAAAATCTGGAAAATGATTCCTGTCTGTATATCTCATCTGTCTAGATAGAAAGGAATCTAAGATGTTTTGATGGAATATCAACTCCTAATCACACTCTTTCCCCTCTAAACTCCCCTGACACTTCTTTTGGACTTTGTTAGCTCCTCATCTTTAGCTATGAACGGGCTAAGAGTTGAACCTGGTGCAATCCCATCATAGCAGGGAAGTGTTCCGAGTCTCTCCCACCGTCTTCACCCGAATCTTAGCTCTATTATATATGTCCTTGATCAACCTAGCGTAAGCCACATGAACAACTTTAGCTTACAAACATCTCCTTAGGACCTCCCTTGGGACTTTTGTCGTAGGCTTTCTCTAGGTCAGTGAACACCATATGCAGGTCCATTTTTCTCTCCCTATACTGTTCCACCAATTTCCTGATAAGGTGAAGTAGTCGAACGCTCCGACATGAATTTGAATTGGTTCTCAGAAATAGACACACTCCTCCTCACCCTTGCTTCCACCACCCTCTCCCAAATTTTCATAGTGTGGCTTAGCAGCTTGATTACCCCTATAGTTGTTTGCAATTTTGTATATCACCCTTGTTCTTGTACAATGTGATCATCGTACTCCACCTCCATTCCCCGGGCATGTTTTTCGTCTTAAAAATGACATTAAACAACCCAGTGAGCCACTCCAAACCTGCCCTACCCGCTCACTTCCAAAATTCCACTGGAATTTCGTCTGACCGAATCGCTCTTCCCTTGCTCATCTTACTCACAACCCTCTTGACTTCCACAATTTTAATATGCCTACAATATCCTAAGTCTCGGCAACTCTCAGAGCGCTCCAAATCACCCAGCACAATGTTCCTGTCCCCTTCTTCGTTCAAGATTTTATGGAAGTATGTCTTCCTTCTTCGTCTAATATGTGCCGCTTCCGTCAAAACTCTACTTTCCTCGTCTTTGATGCACTCACTTGGTCCAGGTCACTAGCCTTCCTTTCTCTCACCTTGCCCTTTCTTTGTCCCCAAATTCTTCATATGAAAGTCCAAACGCTGCAGTCTTAGCCGTCGTAACCGCTAACTTCGCCTTCTTCTTAGCCTTCTTATACCACTCCCTATTCGTCTTCTTCTCCTCCTCGCCTCTGCTATCCACTAACTTCAAATACGTCGCTTTTTTAGCTTCCCCTTTTTCTTGGACCTCTCCATTCCACCACTAGTCCCCTCTGTGACCACCACTGTAACCCTTCAAGACCCTAGTACCTCTCTAGCAGCTTCCCTAATGCACTTCGCTACCGTGGTCCACATACCACTCGCGTCCCCACTACTCCTCCAGGCCCCAATAACTAGCAGTTTCTCCCCACCAATAACATAATATATCCTGGGGTAATATCTGGCTCTAGGTTAAAAACCACGTATTTTGCTTTGCTCAGGTTGGAATTGAATTTAGGCTTTGATTATCCACTTCTATGATTAGTTTTGTATGCATTCAAGAACTGGAAGGTCCTCACCTTAACAAGGCTTGAAAGAAAGTTATTGCTTTTTGAGATGTTTCATGTGATATCTTACTAGATTATAACGCCTCTTTCCCAAAAATATTTTGTTTGGCTCAGAGATGTTAAAATTATTATGTCAATGTACTGGTCCTTGTTGAGAAAAACATCGAAATTACTGGGCTTGTCATCCACCACGGAAGCTGGACCCTACCAATGTGTTGCATGGATTCTAAGTGATTAATAGAACGGTCAGGCTACCTGTACTTGATCTGATGAATTTAATTTGTTGGTGACCATGCAAAAGATGCTAGAGAATTAAAATTCTTTCTCTTTAATAATTAGGTTCTGATTTTCTTTACAAAATTGCAAGTGATTTGAGTGTCAAGTCAAAGTATCTCAGTGAGTAAATTTTCTATTATAATCATGTGTATTAAAGGGATTATCGGCATGAAATCTCTGATGATTTCATATAGAGTAATACCTTATTCCCTTCATCCAAAGATGGCTTGTATTAAGTGTTTTATGCTGCTTCTTCTTGGAAAAATTGTCAATATATATCTAATATCTAGTTGTTTTACGGTCATTTCTTACTTTGGACAGAGTTCAGAAAGAGGAGGCACTAAAATTTCGTGTTGCCAAGACCGGTGAAGTTGGTGAAGTAGAGAAGGTAATGTGCTTACAGGACATTTCGTTGTTGTTGGAATGCTTCATATGTTCCAAGTGTACTTACATAAAAGAAATAAGTTTCCCATACTTCTCTTGGAATTTCCTGCCGTGGCTGAAGGTTTTCGATATGTAGTCATAAGTTTCGAGAAGAGAATAAGAAGATGAACTACCCTGCGCACAACTAGCCCAGACACCATGGTTATAAAAAAAATGAAATACCCTCTGTACTCTGTCTGCTTAACTTTCATTCTTCTTTTATTATTTATTGTAATGTTTTTTTTGTGTATTTGACGTATTAAACTTGACAAGTTAGTGAAAGCAGTTTGAGTCTGCTTGGACTAAAAAAATTGAGTTTATGGTTCCTTTGCTTGTTTTTTCAGGAATTAGCAGCTGAGATTTCAGCTCTGGAGAAACAAAGGAATGAGATTGAAGCTCAACTAAAACAGGTACTCATTTTTTTCATGGAAGACACCATCCGTGCTTTGTTTTTAAATATTATAATTATTTACCTATAAAAATAGAAAGAATCCTCCCTCCTCCATACAGTAACATACATTTTGGATTTAAGATGAGTTATCTCAACGTATGCGCTACCTTTGACAATCTCTTTTCGTCATATGAACTGAAAGATGTATGAAGTTTTATACTTGTATTTTAAAGGAGAATATAGACACTACATTTAATTTAGTTTAATGCAGGCCAGAGACGGACGGACTTAATATGTTAGATGAAATAGTAACACTTTTAACAGTTCTCTAACACTTTTAAAGCTTTGAAGACAAGTGTGCTCATCTATTAATTTCAGTCAATGTGATACTTTGTGCTCTCCCTAACACAGCAGTAATTTTTTTAATGCTATGAGATTGAGCTAGTCAAAGAAAAAAAATTCCTACAATTATGTGTGGTTCAATTTGTCTTGATGATATGGGGCAGTACGACAGATAGGCAAGGTCTCGACAAGAAAAATATCATGTGAAGGAAAGCTTCTAACCTTTTGGCTTTTGAAATTCAGAAAATGTTAACTATACAAGGTTCCTTCCTTTTTTAACTTTACTATATCCATTATGGTTCACTGCAAATCTTCAATACCAAGCTGATTTTGATTCAAACTGATTTTGATTCAAACTCCTTGATTTTATTAAGGAACTTTTATAATAGGATGCTATTTTAGGGTGAAACACTGTTTTTATTGTCATGTTCCTTGTCATCATCCCTCTCTCTCTCTCTCTTATAAGTTGTAACAAGGAATATAATGATGACATTGAAAATTTTCACCTTTCCGCTCCTATCATCTTAAGTGTTTCGACATAGTAGGCTTTGGTTAGTTTAAGAAGAGTAACATACCGTTCACAAAGACATTGAGGTTACTGTATGTAAAGGATTTGATATTTAGACAAAAAGTTGACTGAAAACAGTGGTGGTAGATGCTCAGTGTATGTAGGTTTTGGTGGAACATAGCCGAAATACCAATGTGACTGCTGTGGATAAATGCAATACATAGTTTTTGAGGTTAAATAGTGATGCATTCTTCAATCAACTTTAATGTCTAGCCACTTATATGATTATTGACTTGCACCACCTGTGCCTCCATGCAATGTTTTCCATTATATTTGTGACACCTCTTAAGTTGAGATAATATTAAAGGTATTGCTGGTCAGTTTTCACTAATTGAAAAGAGTTTGACATTGCTTTAGTTATTTTAAATTGTGCTAATTTCCCATGTCACAGTCCTGGCTAAACTGGGTTTCTTTTAGGTCAATATCTCCTTGGCAGCAGCTAGTGCGCGCCTTCAGAATGTCCGAGAAGAGAGGGACCAATTCTATGACGCTAATGATGAGATTGTTGCTCATTTAAAAACCAGAGTATGTCTTTTATTTTCTTTTTACAATCAATTCTTCTTTTGCTTAGCCTCTACCTCCAGTTCTTAAGCTGTATCCACCGATATGGATCTCCAATTGTTCTCTTTTACATTTGATCATGAGTTCTCTATATCCTTGTAGGAAGATGACCTATCAAAGTCCATTGGCTCATGTATAGTGGAAGCAGATGTCCTTAGTTCATGGATCAAATTTTTGGAGGACGCTTGGGCTCTTCAGTCCTCCTTTACAGAGAACAAAGAGAAGGAGGCCAAGTATGTTACAGGATTTACCACATGATCTTTCTTCCAAATTTCTGAAAGAAAAAGAAAACTCTTAAAAGTACTACAGTTAATATTATGGTATGTTAAACCTTATCGTCAATGAATATTCTTGGAGCGTGCTTTATTTTGTAATTGTTGCTGCCTTGCATTCTTGTAGTGTTGAATTGGAAAGGCATGAAGATTATTTTGTGAATTTGGTCTTGCAACTTCTCTCTGCTTATGAGGTACTAGTTTGAAAAATGATCATAGTCGCTTTGTCTATATATGCTCTTGGGATAACTCTTGGATCTATTATGTGTTGCTTGCACAGAAAGAGTTGAGGCCTTCTATTAATCGTATTAGAAAATATGTCTTCAACTTGAAGAGTTTAGTTGAAAGGTAAGGTCTTTCTTTGCATTCATAAGCCTGTACATTTTCGTGGTCACATTCTTAATGCTTTTTTTTTTCCACATAGCAGCTCAGCAGAAGAATCTGGTCTGGCTTCTAGTGAATCAAAAGCATTGAGCCCTAGGAAAAGTCTGGAGTTGGAGTACCTGGACCATGAAGCCAAGGTAAAAATTGACTACACACAACCAATCTGATGAATTCGAGCTGCTTCCACTCTTTCTGTCCAAGACCTAAATCTATTGGAGGTCATTGGTGATTTGCAAGCATTATCTATTCCAACTTGCACCTTGGTTTGTGATTAGTGTTGAAAATTATAGCAAGTGCTTTAATTGCCCTAGTTAGGAGCAGCTATGATTTATTTTCTATTTGATATTGTATGTTTGAGCACTTCGCACTTATTGTAGTAGCCAACATGGCACAATCCTTGTCTCTCTGACACTTGAAGCTTGTTTTATGAGTTGGAAATCTTCTTCATCATTCCAAATCCCACATAACCCTTTAAGCTTCTAAGTTTCGATATCCAAGTGTTGAACTTTCTAAAAACCAGTGCAGAGGCCATTTGTTTGGTTTGCTCTCCCCTTTTAGTTTCTTTCATCTGCCTTGCAATATCAATCCAGATTCCTGAGGTATATGTCTCATCTTAATGCAGATTATTACCACCTTTAGTGTAGTCGACAACATGATGGAGCAGTTCTATGCTCAACAAGGGAAAATATCCAGGTTTGCTTGTGCTTGATACTTTTTCTGTTTTATGTAGCTTTTGTTGGTTATCAAACTCTATCAAGTGAGCTACTTGTTCCCTTTTCAATCAGGAAAGATGAGCCAAAGATTAAAGAGCTGTTTGAGAACATTGAAAAGTTACGAGAAGAATTTGAATCTATTGAGAGACCAGAACTAGAAATGGAGGTCCCGGAGGTCCCCAGCCAAGAGGATGCTTCATCCCATAAAATTCCTGATGAAAGTACGCATACTGCAAAGAAGGCAACAGAAGCCCCTGCAACTGCAACTTCTACCAAACCGGAGCAGGTATCTGATGCCCCATCCTATAAAATGCTAGATGAAAGTGTATCAATTCCTGCGAGGGAGGCAACAGAAGCCCCTGCAGCTGGGGAAAAGGAGGAAAAGAAAGCAGCTGCTACTAAAGCAGAGCAGGTGTCTGAAGCAGAGTTGGCCAAATTGGAATCTAAATCTGAAAACATTAACCAGGATTACTCTGCAGAAGAGATTGGTGGCTGGGAATTTGATGAGCTGGAAAAAGAGTTAAATACTGGGGACTCAGGCAATCCCCGGAAAGATAGAAACATCTAAACACAAAACTCAGAAATCTTCGATCCATGTTGAATAATGAATGGACAGTCATGTATGTACACCAGAATAAGAATCCAGACTGAACCTCCTAACTTGAGCAGACTTTTCCTTGCCAGTTGTATCTTTGGATGTAGTTCCATGTATTTATTATTTATGTAAATTTGCGAAGTTGTGAAAGAACTGCATCATATCAGAACCATGTAGGAACTTTGTGAGGATTATAACAGTCAAATGTATCTTCATAATGCAACATACACGAGTCTTTGTGAAGATCAGGTATACATGGCCAAGTTCACTTCTAATGCCAAAATACTGAAATGAAATTTTGCATGCAATATCCGGTGATGAATTGTGTTGAGATAATCTTTTTATGGCTATTCTTCCTTCTATTGACCGCATATCAATGATTTTTTTTCTCCCAGATGAAGCAGCAGGCATCGGTCCGTTGAACCTGTTACCACGAGTGTGGTATGCCATTACTTTGTTATTAGGTGGTTTTGTATTTTTAAGACTGGTCAATGGTGTCTTAAATTTTCTCCTTTTTATGTTTTATGGTTTTGTAGAGTCCATTACAGAAGTTATTTAGTTATATTATCCTTTTAACTTGAAATCAATTAAAAATAATATAGAAACAAAGGAGATATTTTTACGGTCATTTTCTTGTAAAAATAGCACGGGCTAGCCAGTTTTCGGACTGGTCATTCAAAAATAGCCAGCGTTTGCAAAGTCATTAAAAAATAGTCACTATTTTGCTGCAACACGGAAAGTTCCAGCGTAATATACTGGAGATCGGTGCACCTGTGTATGAACTTCCTTCAACACGGGAAAAGTTCCAGCATAATATACTGGAGATTGGAGCACTTGTGTATGAACTTCCAGTATATTATGCTGGACCGGTATATTATACTGGAATTCCAGTATACTTATGCTGGAACTCCAGTATAATACTGGAATTCCAGTTTATTATGTTGGAGTATTTTCCGGATTTGGAACAGTATTTTCGTTCAAATTTATCTTTACATGAAAAGTGGCTAAATTTCGATTACTTTTGAAACTGTGGCTATTTTTGAATAACCACTTGTAAATCTGGCTATTTTTGAATTTCTCCCATTTTCTTCTATTCAAATAGTAGGTGAACATAGGAGATTATTTCATCTGTTTTATGGCCGTTCTATATGCATACATTTATTACTAGATATACAAGATAAAATTGCACAGGGATGAGCCGTATAGCTACATGAGATAATGCAGTTGGAGAAGGGGTAACTGATGTGGGCTTTTCCCCAAAGGGAAAAATAAATAGTATTTAAACAGGCACCAGAATCCATTAAATGTAGGAAACACAAATATTATTCCTATTAGTGTGTGACTGTTATGAAACTATTATTTGTGGATATCTATTTATTACTCCGCTATAGATAATCTTTCTGAAGAAGATTATCCATTTAGTACTTTGTTGAAGTTTATCTACAAGCAGTTGATGCAGGCAGGTTGCAAGCAACTCAATGAAATGATTTGCAGCAGCTTCTTATTAAACAGGCAGGTTGCAAGCAGCTCATGCGTCAGCTTACAAGCAGCTGAAGAAAAGCCTCGCAACTGCTTCCTTTCTTCTATAAATAGAGGAGTTTTCAGTTCATTATATATATCAGTTTGAAAGTTGAATAAAATATCAATCCCCCTCTATACTTGTCTTCAGTTTATTTCTTTTATAGTCTTTATTTTATAACACGTTATCAGTACGAGTCTCTATGTTTGAATGTATTATCTCTAACTTGAGATAATTTGGAGCAAAAGACGATGGAAGCCAAAGCTGCCTTAGGTAGATGTACCTAGAAATCTCATAACTTTGAACAAAGTTCGTTTCTAATCTTGCTTTCGCATGTTAAGTATTTTCTGTATGGACAACTATTATTAACTACAAATGTTATGATGCTCTAATAATTTTGTTTTATCCACGTGAGCAATATTGCATCTTGAGATAGAGCTGCAATCAATACATATGACTATCATACTGAGACTACAAATGATTGAAAGATTGAAAATCTTCATGTTTCCATAATCATATGGGGTAAATATGTATGTGAGAAGTTACCCGCCTTATTCTTCAAGTTTGTACTACATCGTGTATCACAGTATACCAGAAGTTTACTAATATAAAAGCACTCATAGTAAATCAGAAATTTACTGATACAAAAGTAGCCACAGTAAATCAGAAGTTTACTGATGCAAAAGTTTATGCCATAGTAAACCAGAAGTTTACTTAGAGATAACACATGCCATGATAAACTTGAAGTTTTCATTTGCCATTTTTAAATGAGCTATTTGAGAATTCAGATAAGCATATACTGAAGAACTAGAAGATTCTTCAAGAATTCTCTTGTGTTGCTTGTTCTCATAATAACTTGATTATACCAGCTAAAGTTGGGACTAAAATTCCCGAATTCTGGAATATATAAAAGGTGAATATGGGCCCATTCACCTATCATGTGAATAACTTATAGATGCATATATAAGATGGTTACATGTATGTTTATTGTCAACATGCAGTTTGGCATTTGAAATTGTCTTTCTCAATTAAGAGCATAATTTTCAGATTATGAAATCAAGATAGTTCATCTTGATGATGTTGATTTATATCCAAGCTAGTTTAGCATTGAATACCTCATATTAATAGCTAAACTATTGCTTATGAGAACAAGGCCTCATGTGTTGGTATAAGATTTTCTAAATTGCATACAACAACACTTGTATGCATCAGACCAACAAAATATGATAAGTCCTCCCCTCACAATTGGTTTAGGATCAGAAATCAAATATTTTTACTATTTAATAACTTTTGATATGTGGTATATGATTAATTTCTCTACCACAATGTACAAAGATATGTTTCCCAAAGAAGAATGGGGATATGAGTTAGTTTTTCTAACATTTGGGGGGTGGAATAAAATAGCTAAAAAATATGCTATATGAATCGAATTATCATTAATATGATCCTCACTTAGAAGATAATTCAAGTTAAATGCTAGAAGCATTTACTGATCCAAAATTAAATATCATATTCCAGCTGCAAATGCTCCTATTAAAATTAAAGTCCCTGAAGGATAGAGTTTACTGTATGCATGAAGCGTGGTAGACCAATCGGTTCCAAAGGTAACAATCCTTGAAAAGAATAGAAGCAAATGATCAAAATGATCATAATAAGGAGGAAATAAGCTCTGGAAGATCCCACAACATAACATTTCATGAAACTCCAGAAGAAGTTCAGGTACCTGAAAATAAATAAAGTGATGAGATCTCAACAAGCTATGCCGCTTGCGAACTGATACGAAATGATCGTCAACGATATATTTGATATAGTGCACAATATTGTAAAAGATTGTGAGGATCGGACCTGTAGTCCAAGCACCTGAAGATGTCATGCCATTTAAATGTAAGTCATAACATATATGACTCATTTGATTAATTATATATGAAGATCCCTGAAGGATTTAAAATACGTGAAGCAAATTCAAAATCTCGAAAAATGTATTACAAAGATCTTTGCACAGTTTAAAGTAATCTGGGCGCATATGGTATAATCGTCTTAGTGAATATTTGTTGAAAGAAGGTTACATAAATGATGTTATTTGTCCATGTATTTTTGTAAAGAAAATGGCATCAGAATTTGTTATACTTGCTGTTTATGTTGATGACATAAATCTTGTTGGAACTCCAGAAGAGCTCCAAAAGGCAATTGAATATCTTAAGAAAGAATTTGAGATGAAAGATATTGGAAAGACAAAACTTTATCTTGGTCTGCAAATTCAACATTTAGCATACGGGATCTTTATCCATCAATCTGCATATACATAAAGGGTCTTAAAACACTTTTATATGGACAAAGCACACCCATTGAGTACACCAATGATTGTTCGATCACTTGAAGTGAATAAGGACTCGTTCCGACCTCCAGAAGAGAATGAGGAACTCCTTGGTCCTGAAACACCCTATCTCAATGCAATTGGTGCACTTATGTATCTTGCTAATGCTACAAGAACTGACATAGCATTTTCTATTAATTTACTAGCAAGATATAGCTCTTCTCCTACACGGAGATATTGGAATGGGATTAAGCATATATTGCGATATTTAAAGGGAACTCTTGATATGGGTTTATTTTATGCTAACAAAGGTAGTGTAGATCATGCTGATTATGCAGATGCATGTTATTTATCTGATCCCCATAAAGCTCGATCTCAAACCGGGTACGTGTTTACATGTGGAGGTACTATCATATCATGGCGCTCCACAAATCAATCTATTGTTGCTACTTCTTCAAATCATGCTGAGATAATAGCTATTCATGAAACAAGTAGGGAATGCGTATGGTTGAGATCAGTGATTCATTTCATTCGAGAAAAATATGGTTTGGAATGTGATAAAAGATCCACAATTTTATACGAAAACAATGCTGCATGCATAGCCCAATGAAAGGGAGGATTTATAAAAGGAGATAGAACGAAGCACATATCACCAAAATTATTCTACACATATGATCTTCAGAAAAATGGTGACATTGATGTGCAACAAATCCGTTCAAGTGACAATCCGGCAGATTTGTTCACTAAGTCTTTGCCAACTTCAACTTTTGAGAAGATGGCATACAAGTTTCGAATGCGCAGACTCAAATATTTGAAACAAGGTTTTCATCAGGGGGAGTGAAATACGCGTTGTACTCTTTTTTCCTTACTAAGATTTTTTCACATGTGGTTTTTCTTGTAAAGTTTTTAATGAGGCAACTAGAAATGCGTATTACTAAATATGTGTACTCTTTTTCCTTCACTAGGTTTTTTCCCACTGAATTTTTCCTAGTAAGGTTTTAACGAGGCATATTATCTTTAATGAACATCCAAGGGGGAGTGTTGTGAAACTATTATTTGTGGATGTCCATTTATTACTCCGCTATAGATAATCTTCCTGAAGAAGATTATCCATTTAGTACTTTGTTGAAGTTTATCTACAAGCAGCTGATGCATGCAGGTTGCAAGCAACTCAATGAAATGATTTGCAGCAGCTTCTTATTAAACAGGCAGGTTGCAAGCAGCTCATACAGACAACTTACAAGCAGCTGAAGAAAAACCTCGCATCTGCTTCCTTTCTTCTATAAATAGAGGAGTTTTCAGTTCATTATATATATCAGTTTAAAAGTTGAATAAAATATCAATCCCCCTCAGCCCCTCTATACTTGTGATGTGTGTCCATAATTCCATAGTTTCGTACATTATGTGCCTTGCATTTTACATGCTTTAATGATAAATTAAAATTTATTTGCGCATAATAGAGTCTATTTTATGTG